AAAATATTAAGTATCCCTGAGAGAAGAGCGGATATTAAGACAGAGTCGGAGAGGATCGCTGGCTTGGAGGGGACTAGAAGATCGTTTGAGTTAAGAGTGGGGGAAGATGGAGGGAGAGAGGGTGAAAGTGACAGCGACGTGGAAACGGAATTACGGGATCGGCGTGGTGGAAGGTGGTAGCAGAACGTTTCAATTAGTAATTAAAACGTGCCGTGCAGTAACCCTCGCCTCAACCCCCAGTCATCCCCCCCCACCCCACCGCCTCGCGGTAAAACGAGGCTCTTGCTCTCTCGTACTGTCGTCGTCGCCACCGCCGCCATCTTGTAAATTAATTAATGCGTTCCTAACGAGATCAGAGGCGTCGGTAAAGCAGGAGGGTTGGCTAGTTCTCTACTTTGCCCGCTAAAGAACAGGGGTGAGAAATTCAAGAGCGTAATTTGCGTCCCGCGCACCCCGTGTTGGATGCACTTTCTCAGACAGCAGCCTTTGATCGCATCAATTTCAAGAGTTTAACAATTTCATTACTGAATCAAATACCTGATAAAAAAATTTTAAATAAAATTTTAAATGAATAACCGATGCAAACTTTTAATCTAGCATTCTTTACGTTTAATATATTTGAAAATTTCTTTCAATTTTATAGTCACACATTGTGAAGTCTCTCCGAAAACATACCATGCTTTTAGCTTTAGCTCGTCAGTCGATATTTCGAATTTCAACTTGTCGTTCCGCAAGAGTAATCGCGAATCTTCGCGTCAATTTTTCAAAACGTCCCCCTATCATCGTCACAGCCCTGGGCAAGAACGAATTAGTCTGTTCCCGGGGGTAGACAGCAGAGACAGGGTGTTAGTGGAAGGGGATGTTGGTTGGGGGCTCGGTGTCAGGATCTCTCGACCCTTTCATCGGCGCTTCACCCGCTTACATAATGCAGCCACTCTAATTAAAATAAATTACACTCTCACGCGTCAGTTCGCTCTTTTATCTCTCTCTTTCTCTCTTTCGCATTCTCTCTCGATCCCGCATCCGTGCTCGTTCTTTCTCTGCGTTCCCCTCCCCCTTTCTCACTTCCCTTCCTCCTTTTTCCTCGCTAGCTTTTTTTCGCTCTCACCCTATCGCTTTTTTGTACCACACTTTCGACCACCACCCGGGTAACGCCTCCTCTTCCACCCTCTCTCTCTCCCCTTGCTCGTTTATTTGCACTTTATTCGAGATTTAATTTACCGACCTCCGGCGACAGCCTCGTTGGTGCGCGCTCGACTCTGTGATGGGATTAAAAAGGCGGGTAGGGGATGATAGGATGGAAGAGACCGGGAGACGAAGGGAGAGAGAGGCGAGAGGGTCGCGTAAAAGTTGAAAAAAGAGTAACGCGACCGCGAGCTTCGCGACCAATGGAGAACGAACTGCCGGAAAATGGCTGAACCAAGGAAAAAGCGAGGAGGCGTACGAGGGGGCAGGGGTATGAACAATCGATATCGCGGCGTCTCGATTCGTAGCCGATTTTCAATTCCCGGAACAGCTACCGTGTACCTATCACCACAACATCGCGACAGCGCGAGAGCTTATACACAGTAAATAACGAAATCGATTTCGATTAAACGTTTAAAATCGTTTCTGTTTTCGAGATATCAGGGTCGTTGATGCGGTTGCGTGGCCTCCGGGCTACGAAATACCAGGGGAGAAAGGGAAGCAATTTTTTTTCCGAGTTGATATTTGAACGTAATTAACGTTCGGCAAATCCTAGTGACGTCATGGCCCGAAATAAGCGATAAACGCATATATTGTTGCATCCGCGTCAATGTTTAAAAAATTCACTGCGCAAGATCAATATTTTCATTAAAATACATAAAGGAAATTTGAGACAATGAATCAACAAAAAGAAAATGAAAGTTTCATGTTTGGCAAACTATACAAATATTGCTCGCGAATGATGTCGATGATTATCACGAGAGATTCTCATCGCTACATATCTTGTAATTGTTGAAAACGCATTTCGAGAAATAGCATTTATTCATTAATATGCGTAAATAAGAAACGGGAAAAGCCAATACAATTAGTTTAACGATCAAGGTGAATTTAGCGAAAATTACATATTGACGTTATACGAAATGAACCATTACAATCTCCACGAATATCCTCGTCAAAATTACCAGCTTTCGCGATAATTTATCGTGAGCTGATAGTGAAACGACGCGTAAATATCGCGCAATTCAATTAAGCTCGCGCTTGCGTGTCGGTTGAGGCAAATTAAGAAAGCTCCTCCCTTTTCCGTCTGTATCGGTGCGATAAAAAAAATATCCGCGGTTGCCTCCTTTTTTTTATCGTAGTCTCCCTTTTTTATACAAGGAGCAGTCGCTTTACGGTGTTTTATGAATTCGTTAAAAATCGACGCCTCGATGAGAAGGCTGGCGAGAGAAGATTGTCGAGTAACTCGTACAAAAGCCCTTCTCTCTTTTTTTTTCTCTTATCGCACGACGACGACGATGACGATGACGATGTTAACGTCGACGTCGACCTATAAGCATCGTAGCTTCTTTTCCGCATCCTCGAAAAGCTCCGAGGTATTCCGCAACGCACAGAGTAAATATCTCTCGGGTCGGGAAAAATCCTGAAAACGGAGAAGCAAAGCGCATCTCGCGCGCGCGAGAAGAAAAAGAGAGAGAGAGAGAGAAAGACGAGGCAGCAAGAGAAAGGTTAAAGCTCCCAAGAATGAAAAAGGAGGGGACTTTACTAGTACGCGAATAATAACGACTCGCATTCTCTCCGGCTGTCGTCGGTTTTCGAATTGAGACGCCAATTCTCTCTTCCTCTCTCTCTCCTTTTCTAGTTTCCTCGTCTCTTTTTCTCTCTACAGTCGTATATAATTCCCGTCTTCCCTCTCTTTCTCTCTCTCCCTCTCTCTCTTTTGCTTAATCTTCCTTTTTCCCTCTTTTTTTTAGCCTCGATAGCAATGGTTTGCCTCTTTTCCGCAAGCACCGTTCTTTCTCGTCGATCCAATCACGAGATCGGATTGCACGATAGAGGATGGAGGCAAGAGGAGCACGGAAGGACATGAAAATGCAGTTGGGTAACGAGCCGCCGAGCGGAATAGAAGTTTTATCGTGCAGCTTGCTCCACGTTGCTGCGGAGAGAAGGTATAAATTCAAAGTGACGCGAAAAAGCGGATCGATGGGAACGTAATTCTTCGCTCCTCGGAACTTGGTAAGTACGGCGTCAATTTGTTCGATGGCTCGGAACTCCCTTCCCGTTAAAAAGAAGGCGAAAGACGTCTTCGCGCCGAGATCGGACTGTCGATCAATACGGTATACGTACGATGAAACGTCTCGACGGAACAAAGGAGGTAACGAACTTTGAAATGGGGGATGTACGCGCGTAATCGTAGCTCTTTAGAATTTATTATCACTTAAATCTTAAATTATTAAAGTAAAAAAAAAAGGAGGGGAAGATTAATGAAGCTTGGCAGAAATCGATCATCCAAGGTGTTTCTGGAATGAATGAAGATGTAAGGGGCGAACGAAAAATATATAACGAGGAGAATATAAAAGAACTTATATCTGCTCGACAATCAGTAATATTATATGACGCCGAGGCGAGTAACCCCATTAGCATTCATATTTCAATTTCACAGCCCTCAGGGTCGCAGTTTGAAACTGTGGAAGAGGTACTCTGGTCGGAGCGACGAATGGGGGAGATAAACGGAAGAGAATTCACCGAGGGAAGAGCCAGAGGGGAAAGAGAGAGAGGGAGAGAGATAGAGTGAGTAGGCACCGAGGCAGGGGTAAGGGGAAACGTACGGGCGAAAGAGGAGAGCTAATATCGATAGCAACCTATTACCATCTATCTCCATACCAATGTAATGGACGCGCAGCCCCGATTATCAATCCGTAATAATTGTGCATATTAAACGGGCGCTAATTATCGGGCTGGCAGCGTGCCGCGGGCGCCATCGCCATCGAATCGAACGAGTTACAACTCGACGGCCCGCTCCGCTCTCGTAGTAAATTTCACCACCGGCCGAAAGAGGATCAATAAACTCCCTCCAAAAAAGGGGGAAAAAATTCGTCGCCCGGTCGGGTGCGAAAATATTCGCGAAATCAAATATCAAACTGTGTTTTTCGCGATTCGCCAAGTGGTACGCGAATTTTTCAACGAGCGTGAAACCTTAATCGCCCATTCGTTTCGCCGCATCGCATCGGTTAATGCGGGAACGCTGTTACGACGCACGGGACCGTTTAATCGACGCCCGAGCTAACTGCGCTCATCGATATTCATCGATCCCGGAACCCGGAAAAAAAAGAAGGTAGGAACGAAGATGGGAGTTCCGATCGCGGCGGCGGCATCGATTCGCCTTTTTCGCGCGAGCCTTTTGCCGAGCGAGCGATCGATCGATCGGTCGGTCGATCGGTAGGACGATTTCGCGGGACACTCGAGAGATCTGGGAGGCGGAGAGCGCGAACGGCGGTACCCTCGAGCGCTCTCCAAGCTTTTTTCCTCTCTCCGGAACGCTTTTAATAAACGCGCGCGCCGCAACGTTTTATGTTATCGAAGGAGGAGAGAAACGCGGAGGAATAGAGAGGTCGAGAAAATTGAGGGGGAGAAAAAGAGAGAGAGAGAGAGAGAGAGCATCGGATGGACGATGAAAGCGGAAGGGAGTGCTTTTGACGACGAGCTTTTTATGGCCCCGTGTTCCGGTGTTCAGGCTTTTATGTCCATTCCGCGTTTCCTCCTCCTTTGTCGCCATCTCCGCCTTCCATCCACTCTTCGCTCTCTTTCCTTTTCTCCACGCTATCGTGTATCGCGCTAATTCCCTCTTTCGCACTCTCTCGTTCGTCCATCTACGCCATCATCCAATAATACACGCGCTTAAGCGGCAGTGTAATTCCGCTTTATGGGGTGAAATTTTACGTACTTGGCAGTACCAGCGACACGCCAATCTCTCTCTCTCTCTCTCTCGTTCGCGATAAATAATGAGAAATGACTTAATATTTAAATGTGATACTCACATGTCTCTCTTCGGCTGGATTGAGACCTGCAATGTAAAAATTTCGCATGAGTTACTCGCAAAAAAAAAACCGTGTTATCGTTAAAACTAGAGATATACCTAACTATGACTTTATTCGCGAAATCGTCCGTTTTTCAGATATCATTCTCTCAAAGTCGATGGATCTATCTCTGACAGAATGGACGCGCCATAAATGTTTTTCATTGTTATTACAACGTCGAAGCGAATAGAGTCGGCGATATGTCGGCGGAATCTTTTCCGCGAAAAGAAGGAGATAAAAGAAGCTGAGATGGAGTACGCGAGACTAGCTAGAGTTCTCAAGGATTTCCGAGACAGCGGTAGAGAGGGAGAGGGAGGGAGGGAACGGAGAAAAAGAAAAGACCGGCTGGAATAGGGAGCGAAGAAAATCCAGACGGAAAAGCTTTGTCCTCGAGAAGCTGAGTTCATAGTTTGCCCTCGCTCGATTTCCCCAGCCTCTCCTTCTCCTCCTTCTCGGTTAGTACACTTCGGTCTCGTAGGAAATATCTTAACGATATCTTTTTCCTCCCGTTACCCCATCCCACCACCAAGTAAGAATTACACGAGCCGTTTATGTTCCTGGTGCACCGGGACCACCATAAATTGCCTCTCTTTTCTCCCGCGACATTAACCACCGCGGAAATAAAATATTTTTATTGACGCGCGAGAGACAGAGTTTCGATATCCATGTTATCGAGGCGCGGCATCTCCTTAAAAATAAGTTGCACAATAAAACGCGCATTTTCGTCGCTCGATGAAACCTTAATTCCTAAGCTCCCATTTGAACGATATTATCGACTATCTACATCGACCATTTACATCGCGACGAACGAGTGGTTTTACTATTATAGTCTTTTTAGTCCGCCAAATAACGGGAATGATAGTCTCGGGGAAAGGTCTTATTGGGCCGGAGAATTTTTTGATATTTTTCCGAGTACTGTCGCGAGTAGCAGACGTAAATATCACGCGGAATATCGGCGTATTAAGGGTTAAAATCCGGGGATACTCGTCCAGCAGACACGTGCAAAACGGAGCAGTTTCGAAAGAGAGAGAAAAAGAGCGAGCGAGAAATATCCTTGTTCTCTTTGCGCCAATATAGACTTCGCTAATGCCCGTCATTCCCCTTTTATCCTTCCTGCTATCCAGCCAGGAAACTCTTTTTTCCTCCCTCACTCGACTACTCCTCTCCTTTTCGCGCGCGCGCGCGCGCGCTCATAAACGGACGCGGAGCGCGCATAATTTTCTACTAAAGCGCGAAGAGGTCGTCGAGTATTTCCGAGAGGCGTTTTAAGGACCCACGTACTCGCATCTCGTATCCCATCTTGGGGCGAGCTCGCTAAAAGAACCGAGGACATATATATACAGCTCGCCCGTTAGTCGGAAAATTATTACATAAAGTATATGTAGTATGTTATCGGGTATTTAAATCCGAAAATGAACATCGATCGATTCTGTTTATTGAAAACCATTTGTGTGCAAATTGAGGCTAACGCGAAGGTAAAGTTTTTTTTTTTAATAACTTTTTTATTAGATATGAAAACGAAAATTCAAACTGTACATAACTGTACATAAATGTACAAACGAAGATCTATCAATTATGTTGATTGAAAACCATTTTTTGAAGAAATTGGAGGCTAATGTGAAGTTGTCCCCACCAAGAGTTTTTTTTTAAATAACTTTTTTATTAAAAGTGTGCAAACGAAAATAAAAAAAAGTGCATTCTGTGCAAACAATGTGCAATCATCAAAAAAACAATTATTTCTAATATTGGGGGGCTAACTTTAGTCTTTTCTATCGAAATAGCGATATAAATTTTGATAAATAGACGTCAACGTCGTTATAAACTTTAATAACGACCAACATTAATTTCTAAATGACCGTAAAAATAGTTTGTAAGCTTGCCGAGTGAGTAAAAAAAAATACAGCGATACATGATCATATACTGCCATGACAGATATTGCGGCGGATATGTCCGAAGATGGAACCATTTTGGGACGAAACGCGAAAACCAGAGGGAAGAGCAAACGATAACGGGGCGCGTTACGCGCTGGTAGAAACAATTCGCTGCAGGCAATGTCCCGGAAAGAAGGGAAGAAGTTTCAGTTGTCACGACAGAAATACTCGTCTCTCGGTTCGCGCCGAAATCTCGTTTCAAAAGAGTATCTGCGATCGTTGACAATGTGGACTGCGACAGATTTGTTTCTTTTTCATCGCGCTTTTTCACTCTTTTTCTATTTCAAACAAAGCATATATACGTTCACGCTTTGACGAGAAAAAGAAGATAAATTTATAAGAGTACAGTCACAGAGAAAACAGACTCGAAATAGTATCTAACATTATCGAATATATTTCGCAAATATGTATTCGCAATATGTATTTCGCAATATGTACAAATAAACAACTTGTTATTTGAATTTGAAATCCCGAATAATAAAATTTCTAAATTCTGAAATTGATCGACAGAGCGTGACTGCGCGTCAAGATTGGCGGATTTTTCATTACGACAATTTCGACGATAGTCGGAAAACGCGAAACAACATGCGGAGCAAACCGGCCGGAGGCTATACATCTAGCTTGAGTAACATAGTTAGGTGCGAGCGAGTCGAGGAAGAGGATAGGCAGGGTCAGAGTGGAGGCCATCAGGGAATAGAGACAGCGAGCAAGGGTGGCAGTCGCGGGAAGGTAGAGGGGAAGGGTTGTGGAAGTACACTCGTGTCGAGAGGAGATTCTGAGTGCTCTCTTGAGAGATGGTTGTGGTTAGAACGAGACACGCCGAGCGAGACATCGGAGAGAAGCTAAGAAGCGCGCGAGAATAAGGGCGAGAGAGGAGAGATGAGGCGAGAGAGGCGAGTCTGGAGCATCTTCGTCAGCGTTACGTGGGGCCCTCCCGAGAGCGCGAACGAAGATCTCGCACTCGCGTGACGTGCCAACGAGAAAGATAGAAAAGCAAACGAGATAGATGAGGGAAAGAGAGGGGACGAGGACTCAAAACCCTCTGAGTAGATTCTCGAGGTCAAGATCGAGAGTTTCAGGAGCTTCTCTCGGATTTAAGCACGGTCGTTTGCGTCATCGGCTCTAAACCGTATTTAAAATAGCGCGAGAAGGTCCCGCTTAATTTCTACTAACTTTCGAGCGGCCTCGCCACCGATCGTCTCGCTCGCAAAGTAGTCCGCCGTCTCTTCTCAAAATGCTCTCACGAGCGTTTTCATCCGTTACACCGACGACAGCTCTTAACGGATTAATCGTGTTTACGTTCATCGTCTACGTATACAGCTGAATCATCGATGAGATTACGAGTCACGACGAGCACGGCAAAACAACGTATCGTTTCATGAGAGGATCGGTTACCGGTTTATTCTCACAGAAGTGAAGATAAGCGATTGAACAGCAGGTAGCCGAGTTACACGAGAGACACGAAGCGAAATTGAATACGCAACTCTCGTTCCACGAACGAGATGGTTGAACGGATCGTTTGGCGCGCAAAATCACGAGCGATTCGCTGAGTGCGCGAAAGTTGTCCGAGACAACCAACCGGGACTTCCACGAATCGAATCTCCTCTATTAACACGGCTGACCTCACGCTCGTTAAGAGATTCGCGAGAGAGATTCTATACAAGTATCCAGCGATTGACAAAGTCAACAATCGCAAAGAGATCATTTCCTCGAAACTTTTAAATCAAGTTCTTCCGTCACTCTATTTTGTCAATGTTGCAAAACTTGTTTTTTTTTGACATATGACACATGCGTTGAATTTAACTACATGTATCTCGCAGATCTGATATTTAACAAATTTTTAAGATTTAAATTTGAAAAATGTGTACGACTTACCGCCGTTGGGCTTCAAATCGTCAGACTGACCTCGATGAAGATCCGGCTTCGTCAGCATCGACAGTGGATGCGCGGCTGTACCTCCCGGAGTGGCGGCTGCTCCCGGGGGAAGGCCCAAACCGAGAAGGGCCGCGGACGCAGAGGTGGGGACCGGTATACCGGCACCTGGGCCCAATCCAGGAAGTCCGGGTATACCCGGATGCGGTCCCATCGCCGCTCCAGGCGGCAATTGCTGGGCGTGCATCTGCTGCAGCAGTCTCGGCAAGTCGGGCCTCTGTTGCTGCAACCGCGAGAGCAAAATTTCGCGCGTAAATAACATACCGCTCGCGTAATTTTCGCGATCGTTATCGCGATATCGGGTTATCACCGCCAGACGTGCTCGCGTCCTTTGTCGATATCGCGAAGCATCGCGTGAAAAAGATTACGCGTTTGCACGTACGTAGATACGCGCGGGACGACGCGAACGTATATATCGCTCGGATCTCGATAAATTTCCAAGATTAGATTAAATAAGTGGCGAAGCAATTAACGGGCTCGAGAGCGCGTAACGGTGCCTCTCGAGTATTTCCGCTGTAATTACCAGATAAAAGCGAACGGGTATTATTCCGCGAGACGTGAAAAAACGCGATGCGCGGGAATCGAGGCGATCATCGCTAAGAGCGCGGCAGATTGGAATTGAAGGGAACGGGTGGGGGGAAGGATGGGGGAAACTTTAATAGCACGTCGATATTATCGTCGGTGGCCGCTATGGTTGCACCGCAAAAGAGAGAAATGGAGAGAGAAAGAGAGGCAGGTACCAGAACCCGATAGAAGAGTTCGGAAATGATTTTTACGGGCTATCGGTTTAGCACGATGGTGTAGTGTGTACGTTGCCGCAGCTTCGTTAGGAGAGTCTGTTTGCCGAACGTGAACTCACGTTTCCAGCGCGGACAAATGCATAAGCAAATAAAATCGCGCGAGCGAGCGAGCGAGCGCGGATTTAAAAGCACGGCACGATGGGCCTCCCCTTTCTCTCCCTCTCTCTCTCTCTCTTTCCACCCGTCATAATTGATCAAACAATTTCGTTCCCGCGAGAGGAGACAGGGAAACAGCGAGGGAGCGAACAAAAAGCAACGCAACGATAATTCGCTGGAAAAATCGCTCCGCTTAATTCCGGTCACGATCGCGCGTTCTCCGCTGGTTTTCTCCTTCTCTCTCTCTCTCTTTCTCTCGCCTCTCTCTTTGCAAATTTCCCTCTTCTTCTCGCCACCGCCATCCGCTGCCGCCGTTACGCGAAAATACACTTCGTTACAGTCAACGGAGAGGCAACTTTCCATTAGCAAAGCATACAAATTGCCGAGTAAACTCCGGTAAGTTTGAGTAACCCCCGCGTTCGACCTCGCTCGGGTAAATCAAAGGCTGCGAAACAAGTGGAAAGACTTACGCGTTACTCTCTCGTCGGACGAACGCGAACCAACCAACGAGCGAACGCGGGCGAAAAGTTTCGCGAAAATCTTAAGCGTATCTCGCCCGTAGTTTCCTCGTTAGTTGGACCAAGCCGCTAGACAAATTGTGGACCTGTTCAGCGCCGTTTTAACGGTTCGTGAATCACGGTGCGAGGGGTGAGACGAGCGAGGGGTAGGAAACTAGAGAGAGAGAAGGGAGGATGGGTGCGCAGACGGCGAGTCGGAAGAGCGGAGGGTATACTACACCCACACCTCCGCCTGCCTGTAACCATGTACACTCGTTAAGGCAAGCCGGAGCGAATATTCCGGGGAGTAGTTTGCCGAGATAATTAAATGGCTTAACGATATAATAACCTCGCGTCGAGTGTCGACTGTCTGAACAAAGAGCCACCCACAAAACATACAAACAGAGAAACGTGTATAAGCGAGCCGATGCCGCGCCACGTTACGTCTGTGTTAGGAGATGGAGATTGAGTGAAAAAGGAAGAGAGACGGGAATTGAGAGAAAGAAAAAAAAGAAGGGAGAGAGAGAGAAAAAAATAAAACAAAAACAGAGAGAGAGAAGTGGCGGGGGCCTTACAATCTACATGAAACGTTGTCGGAGATTCGAGAAAGTCGGAAGCCCCTAGGAAGCGTTTCCACTCTTGATAGCGATAATAATCCTGACCCGGAGCTGCTATCCTCACGGATCCAACTTCCACGCGAAGTGTTACCCTCTTACCCGTGCCAGGAAACCACCCTCATCTTCGCGTTGAGATTCCCTCGTAATACCATTGGAACGCGACGGAGTGACGAGAGCGGCGCTTTGACTCGCGGCGCGAACAATTTTGTAGGAAAGTTTCCGAGGTGCAAATTTCGTTTCGCAAGCTCTTGCTAACGAGCAAGAAAATACGTCAAAAAAAACCAACAAAATTGTAAAGTCTCTTTGAAAATTATATTAAAAAAGTCGCATCATAAAATGAAACACACGCGATTTATATAGTATTTTTGTAGTATCATTGTCAAACTTGTATAATTTTTATAATTAGTTAAATGGAACATTTCTCGACATTTTCTCGTTTTAAAGCGTCTCGACTCGCAATGTCTTTTATTTTCAGATAGCGAAATAGCTATGTCTTAATACTCGTACGAATACTCTTCTCGCGGCACCTGCCGCCAAGGCTCGTTCTCAGCAGTTTTCACCATCGTCATCGTCGCCACTTGCTGACTCGACCAGAGACGCAGAGTTACGGTCGAAAGATCTAGAGAGGGATCGTCTCAACTTTCTTATATTGCGTATCGTTGACACTTGGTAAGCGTTTTTGAATGGACAGTCGCCATAAGAAGAACCGCGATTGATGCAAGGTGCATTTATGCAAGCGTTTACGAAGGCACGTAAATCAATATCATTCGCGATATCGAAGCTTTGCAATTCCATTCACCGTCCGTATAAATTCGTATCGATGTATAGAGCGATAATATAATCGATTCTTATAAAAGAAAAGAGTTGCGTTATGTTTATTCTCTGGTATATTTCATCTACGCGACGAAATCAAAGGCGTGAGCGGCGAGTTTGTCGCAGCTTGTCCGATTCGATATAGCTGGTTAGATTTAAGAGAAGAGAGTAGATTAAGATGGGCGGTATTTCGGAATCCTGCTAAGGATTTGCCGCACGTACCCCGACAACGTCGCAGATCCGTGCAAGTTTCTCTACGCGGGAACGAGAGGTCAGGAGGGCGGAGGGGTGGCTGGAATGCTGATTAGTCGGCGTTCGTGCATCGTAACACTATAACCTACCCCCGGTGGCCTGGGAAACCAGACGGGAAGACTCCGGATAAGATTCAAGGGAGAAACGGCTATATAGGTGGCTGGAGCGGATGCGACCGGGGTGAGGAGCGAGAGATCGAGGAGGACGGGGAGAAAGAGCCGGAACGGAACGGAGGAAGAGAAGCCGGTGGCTTAATAGGGAGGAAATTGAGTGCTCGAGCAATATTGAGGAGGATTCGGGATTCGCCAGGATCGTATCCGTCCCGTCCGCTTTTGGATTCCTCGGACGTGCATCGGCTTCCAACCCGCAGGGGTTCTCCATTCGCCGCGGATGCTTTTCACGCCGAGACGCACGCGTATCATCGGGTCGCCATGCATCCGGTCGAGTATGTCGCGAACGACAATCCGACGATAATATCCGACGACAACGACACCGAAAGGTTGTCCATGTTTGAAACGAGCGATATCATTGCACTTACCCCGATGATGGTGTTCAGCTCGGTCATGGTCACTTGTTTAGCTCTGTCGACCGCCGTGGCGACTTGCTGCTGATGCTCCTGCGAGAGAAACGGCAGGATCTGGGCGATGATGGCGTTCAATCTTTTCGCTATCTCCGTCTGAAAAGAAACATTTTTTTAGTAATATTAGTAAAAAATTATTGTAAAATTACTAATATTACATTTCAATATTGTATCTTAAATATGGCAAATTTTCGATTATATATCACGTATCTTTCCTTTAACTCAATTGGAATATTATTAAAAAGAAAGAAAAAATTGAAAAAAAAAATTAAAAAAATATACCTTCACCGAGTACAAGCGTTACAAGTTGTTCGATCCGACACTATACTAGTCTGCGCCCGGGACCCTGGGTAGCTTGTTCCGGGTCGTTAAGAAAGGTAAGGGCTAGCTTAACGCGCCCTCGCGAAGGAAACGAGTAAAGATGCAGGTGCGGCATAACCGACTGAGGGTGTTTACGACGCCCTCCGGCTGGAAGAGACTGCCGGGAATTAAATTAAATCCCGGCAAGATTGCCACAGTGGCGTAGACATTCGCGCGTTTCAAAGCGTAGTGTAATTTTCCTAAAGCCTCATTTATTTCAATATCAACCAATATTTCCAGCCGTTTTTTATGCCAATTTGAAACATTTTGAATTTAGACAATAAATATATACCTAAAAATATTAACATAATTTAGTAATTATTCAGTATTTAATAACTTAATCGGACAAATAAAATAATTATTTTACATTTTTTATATTTTCCACAACTTTTACTCTAAATATTTTAAAGTATCGTCATTGGATAATCGTGCAAAGATCCATACGTTGCGGGTTGGGTAACTCGGCATAATAATTCACACGGTGCAACATCGCAGCGCGAAACTCCATTTAATTATCGCGGAATCAACAGGCAGCGCATGGAACGGAGCGCGGACCATTTTCGACGCTTTCGTCGAGAAAATGAAATCACTTAATTATCTCGACAAAGCGGCGGTTCTGGCGCTCGTTTCCCCGCCAACGCGTAGAATTCGCACGCTCGAGAGACGCGGAAGCGGAAGCCGCCGATTCGTCGCGAAACGGGAAGCGAATCAACCACTGATTCTACGTGTTCTCGATCTGTCTCGACGATTCATAAACGCCTCGAAAATATAAGCCTAGCGATCTCCCGGTTGATTTAAACGCGAGCTTTCTTCAACGCGTTTGCGCCGCCGCTTAAACGAACCTCGGAACCTGCTAATTGAAATATCGCCGAGCCACTGAAATTCTTGGCAAGTTTCCCTCCCTCGAGCACATCTCGACCTCTCGGTGAACGAGCGGAAAGAGAAAGAGAGAAAAAGAGAAAGGAAGGAAGAGAACGGAGAGAGCGGAAAGAGGAGGACCTGTTTTAATTACTCGTCGTCTTCTGAGTGCTGGTTATTAAGCCGCTAATTATAATGTACGCGAAAATGAGTCAAGCGAGATATCGTATACAGAGAGCAAGGTTTACATAGTGTGGAATACATGTGCGCGATACACGGAACATGTAACTTTATGGAGTACGGAAATGTTAAGAGTATATTTTTTCTATGCATCCACAAAAATGTGAAGAAACAAAAAAAATGGAAAAATATTCCAAAGAAAAAAATATTGAGCTTTAAAAACTTGATGTCAAATAATGGTAAATGTATGAATTTATGAATTTTTCAAACTTTAATGTCATTCTTTTTTTATAAAAAAATCACCGGTATATTGACAAGTTAAGTGTGTTTAACGATTAGCGCATTCATCATGAAGCTCAACACACGAGTGAAAACGAGCTCATTACCATGAAACTCAAATATACCTGTGTTGATCGCAAGAATAACACGCAGAGTGTGTTTCGTAACGTGTGTGTGGTAAAGTTCTATCTACTCGGCGTATACTATACAGCAGTTTGCTGCAATAGCAAAAGCAGAAGATTCCGAGTGAGTGGTAAGACCCGGGGAGGGGGAAACATTGTGGGCGAGAAATGGTGGCGGCTTGAGGGAGGAAGGGACGACAACGGGGATGGAGCCGTCGCAAACGTAATTGCGTTGCCAAGAAGTTTTCCCCGGGTGAAAGGTAACCAAGAAAATAATGAATGGCTCGGATGCTCCGCTACTGCTCTCTCGCGTCGTGAGAGAACTAGCAGAGATAGATAGATAGAGAGAGAGAGAGAAAGAGAGAGAGAGAAATGATGGCACAAGTAGAGAAACGAGAAACCGAGTTTTGGCCGCGATGCTCTCGTTGGCCTGGATTTCATACGGGGGAGAGATGAAAACCTCGCCTCGAGAATGAATTTTTCTCTCCGGTTGTGCCAAATTGGACCAACGAAGATTACTTCACTTCGCGAAGCGGAGTCTCTCGCGGCACGAATGGCTTTTTTTCTTTAAAATAGCACTTGCGACAGACGTTGTTATCCGCTATCGGCGTATCGGGAGCGACTCGAGATTTCAGCTACGGCGCAAAATCCAAGACGAATCGTGATACATGTAGAAAATATCTTCCCAGAGATCTTTTCGAGCCAGTTTTCTTTTTTTTCCGAACAGCTGCGTTCTTTTTGACATTACAAGGAATCGCACCGAAACGGAAGACGCAGATGCTCCGGCTCGTAATATCGCGAAAACCACAAGAAACTCTCGCAAAGTGCTCTATCCCCCTCTCATTTCGCTTACACATACACACGACATCGCTTTTGTGTCGCGCAAATCGTACACACACACGTACACGCGGCTACGAGCAGACGCGCATCTCAAAGGAATCAGGCACTCTCTCGAGAGATGTTCTCCCATATATATAAATAAACACTATAGCGTATGTCTAAAAGCAGGCAGCAACATTCACGGCATGAAAATGCAAAGCACCCGAGTGCCGTCGATAAAATTCCCCGCCTGTAAAACGGTGACGTGAACCGAATGCTCTTTCACCACCCGGCCCGGCGCTCTCGATATTGCCGATAATCCGATACTCGAAGCTGCTTCGAGGGAGAGAGAAGGTAGCGGGCCGCCCCCACGAATCCGGCCGCGTCTGTCTGTGTATATACCGTGTTATCGAATATCGAAGCGCGACTTCTTATTTCTCACTTCGCCCGCGACGCTCCCACTTTTAATAAAAACCTCGACGCTCTTGGAAAATTTTTAATCGAAGTGCCAGCATTTGGTATTACCGGAGGGAAGGAGGGAAAGAGACGAGAGGCAAGCGTAGAGAGGGAAAGAGAGAGAGCGAGAGTTTGCGGCAACAAAGCCATGCTCGCCGCCAACCTCTGCCGACCAAGCGGAAGCCGTTACTTGCGCTAACGAGTAAACCAACGGCTGCTCGTCGGACTTTGGTGGTATTATGCTGCGCGAGCAAATAAACTGGCGTGTTCGGCTAACTCCCTGGTTTCTGGTAAGCCCTTGCACACCGGCGGCGGTTCTCGCTCGCTCGGCCTGTAAAGCCCGGCTAACGTCCGCGTGATTGCAATATCCCGCGGCTTGCGGAGAATACCGGATGTAACCGTGTGTACGCGCGCGCATCTGTGTACACACGGCTGGACCACTGTGTGCGAGAGCGCGGGTGGGAGCGAGACGCGAGATAGAGAGCGCCGCCCGTTAAGGCATACGAGCGGAAAGCTCATTGTCCGCCGTTGTTTCGTACGTTCCGTCTCCTGTTACATACACCGAAAGTTAGATTAAATCAATTTTCTGTCTCGCATCCCCTCGCGTCGCGCTAATTTTTATCGCGTCGCTAAACCGGTGCATCCAGCAGCGGCACAAGTCTCTTACCGCCACGCTTGTCGCGCGACCAAGTGAAAAGAATCGATAATGCTCCGTGTCTTTTGTTCCATCGGTCGCGTTCGTACAACGATGCGCGACATACCTGACAAATAGGTCAAACGCTATAATAGCAGAAATTCGATACGGGAGCGAAATGAGAGGGAGAGTGTCGGGTCCCGCGGTTCGTCCGTAATGCCATCGATACATGTATACAAAACCGCGATACCTGTGTGTGAATAATATCTATTTGAAAATATCTGGTCGTTCGGAATCGCGATCAATTAGATCGCGCGCAAAAGAGAGGGAAAATCGCACGCACCGCGTGTCGTTGCGGCGACGATCAACTGTCAGGCGTGACGAATGCGCGACACGCGGGATATATCCGGGAGATGCGAGCGAAACGCGAGCGAGCGAAACGCGTAGGCGAAACGGCCGCGGTGGCAACGCCAGAAATTGCTTGTATAAATATTGAAGGCTCGCCATATTCATTCGGTTAATTTTCCACGGTGGACGCGCGCGAGAGACCGCGATGAAATTTTATGCCCTCCGCGAGTCTCTCGACGTCGTTGCGCACACGCTGCACGTTGTAACGCGATGCGGCACGCACGCACGCACGCACGCACGCACGCAAGAGCGTTCGTGATTTCGCGTTTCCGAATAAAAAAAAAAAAAATACACGCGGAGAGAGAAAAATCTCCATGTCGCGTAAAATGGTCAACTCGAATAACTCAAATCGCTGTTAAACGGATTATCGGGACGAACGGGTTACGAATGACGATGATCGGCTGTACATACATTGCGTCGATGGTTGTTGCACCGCGAGATGAAGAATACAATTGCCAATCGCGATGCGGTTTCCGATTTTGATTCGTGCTTTAACACGGCGTAATAGTTGGCCGCGTTGTGATCAATCTAATACAATTTCATACAATTCAATTTTTTCTTCTCACGCCGCTTTTCTCATTAAATACGCAATTAGATTTATTTATTTTAGTCACACGTCACAAAACTCGAAACGCGATTCCAAATCACGGTACAATTGTCGCGAACGAAATTTAAGGACGAAAAACTGATGCTGCAACATATAATTCAGGCCAATTTCAGAGACAGAGGATAATCGACGAGACGCAAAGAAGAGTCGAGAGAGGGAAAGAGAGAAAGAAAAAGAAAGAAAGAAAAAGCAATGTACGAACGTTCGAGGGTAAACAGGCTACAATCAATTCGGGGTTCGTCGTGGTCGCGCAACGAGAGCGGCGAGGGGTGACTTGGAGTGGCCGCAATTCGAGGAACATCCACAGCCCGTGTGTGTACGAGGCGTACGTGAACGTAAACGCCAAGTGTGGAACAGCATGCATGTGTATATG